TTATGTAACCATTTTTTTTTTTAAATCGATACTAAGAAGTGAAAGATCGATATTATATTGGGCAGCCGAATATCACGATATATCGCCAAAACGATTATTTCCCACACCCCTATTCCTTAGTGCCTTTACCAATTTGAGGTATTCAGATTGAGTTCCTCAGTTCCAGTCATCGAGGTGAGGCGTTCCGCTCCTTTAAGATGTGTCTCTGCTTCAACATGCCTAAGTTATAAAGTAAGGTCATTTGCAGGACTTTGGAGAAGTGCATGCTGGAGAAGCCAGAATTGAGAAAGTTTAGACTAGACAAACGAGCTTTCAAAATCATCTAAACGAATCATGAAGCCAAGCATGTATAAAGTTATGGTTAAATTAGAGGAAAATCTAAATAAAAAAAATTTATTAAAATTTTTGCTAAGAAGAAATTCAAACTTAGATTTTTACACCCCTTGGACATTTCTTCCTGCTGAAGACTGTTGAGACTGAAGCATTGGATGCAGGTCCAGCAGACTCCATAACAGTTTCTTCACCACTGCCATTAGACTGCTGAATGTTGTGTAAAATGGGTTATTTTATTTATTTAAAAAAATTAAAGTTAGAACTGTAAATATACAGTACAGTCATATTATATTATATGACTATTTTTTAATGTATTTTTAATACTGTTTTCAAGACTGCACTGGTCTAGATCTGTTTAAAATGAAATTTATTTTTGTTTACACACATGTATAAAAAAATGACAAAATAAATCTAAGTCTAATGCCAGTAAAGACCATTATTTAAATTAATAGTTCATATATTTATTATTTATTGAAAAAGGATATGTAGAGCTTTCAATACCACATTTTATTTGCAATGTAGACAAACGTTTAAAACTTCTTTGATCTGATACTCCTTTGATGTTTTTATTATTTCTTTAAGATGGACACTGCATTGTTTTCTTTTTATGATATAAATGCACCAAATTATAAATTAAGCTGCAAAACAACAGTCAACCTAATGTCTATCCTCTATTTTATCTGATCAGAAATAAACTTTCTGGTTAAATAAAAACATCAAAATCTGAATTTGCAGTATGAATTATTTAAGCTTAACAAGGTCTGACATTGACCCTTTTAGCCCATGCATCTTCCCACATTAACAGCTGCCATTCTATAGTCCTCTAGGAAAATTGATCTATGTTTATCCTGCAAACTGTTTTACAAAAAAAATAATAATTTAATCAAACAAGCCCCAAAAAACAAAGAATGATGGATTTTTTTTTCTTTCTTAGGCACAAAAATATTTAAAACGCTCAATTCTCTATTTGGTTCTCTAATCTCTTTGATTTAAATAGACTCTTTTCCAAGGACAGATTATTCAAACATGCCTCTAATAAAGAATAACACCCCCCCTCTCGCTTTGATCCGTTTTCACTTGCCACTCACTTCACACAGATGCTAGGGCTTGACATGACCTATAAAAACAGATGTCTCACCGCTTCCACGCAAACTTCACAGCGCAGGATGCATCCAGAGCGCGCCCGGTCTCCATATCTCACCAACACAGACCCAATAATGTCCTGGATGATGTCCCCCATGCACGCGTCACTCTGTGCGGATCCAACACGCAAACACAGAGACAGACACCACAGGAATGAAACGTCCATCTCGCTGCGTCCTGCTGCAGCCACAGTGCGTGCCGCGTCCGCGCACAAATCCTGATGCCAGACGCCTCAAGTTTCACATGATGCTCTCCCCATTCAGGAGAAAGCGCTGCGTTGAAGCTGGCGTAAAGCCTGTGATGATGGTATTTATCTGAGCACCCTGCCAGGTAATTCCTCATGAGTCCTGATTTTAAAGGACATCATAATTAATCCAACAGATGGGCTTTTCTTGTCAACTGACCCGGTTTGGGAGCGTTTTGCTGGAGTTTAATGGAACAAAGACAAATCAGGACAAGGGTCAAGCCTTAGGTGCAACCAGGCTCTCTACCGCCACCCAATGGGGGAAGCTAACAATTACACAACAGCGCCTTTTCAGTCACAATTTAAGCCAGACAGGTTTATTGCCAGACTTGATATGTACAGAGGTCATCTGAGTGATGAATCATTCAGACCCTGTAAAGAAGAAAAAAAAAATTCTGACAGTAATACTCCAACCGTAAGATGTAATCATGTTCAGAGTGCTGACTCTCATGCAGCATCGCAGTCCCTGGCGCTCTGCATGAAAGATGCAAAGGGATGCAAAAACCCGTCATGACATGTCAGCCGTCACCTTGCACTGACGTGAGTATTTCTGACAGGAAGAAGTGGAACAGCATTAACCCATTTCCTCCACAAATATACCGTCTGTTCAATGGGCACTGACACATGGCTGATTGTGCAACACGGCTAACATTTTCCTCTCATTAATAAGCTTTAATGGAAATGACTCCAAGCTGATGCAGAAACAAATATTTAGCAATTCATCTGTGTATTGGTGGTTTGAGTAGTGCTGTCGTTTTAAAAGCACTTCCTTCTGTGTCTCTGTGCAGGAGTTTGTCCCTTTGGACCGTCACGGTAATTTACTGGGACTGTTTTCTGAGTGCTGCCTGGCTGCAGGGACATGAAAAACACAGCCGATGAGGTGGGGCTGAGAGCGGGAAGGTCTCTGAGTTGAAATGCAGTGCTGGCCTATATTTTAAAGCGCCGCTGTTTTTCCGTGTTCAAAGGTTCCTGCTTTCACACCACACAGACATGCTCTCTATAGTCATCTCTTTACTGGACATACAATGCCTTGAAAAGTCAATCTTATGTCTTGAACTTTTTCACATATTCTCCTTTTTACAACCAGAAGCTATAGAGTAACTGTTTAAAGGAAAAGTCCGGTCAGCAAGGAATAATCAGTAGATTATTATCTATACCTAAAACTAGTACGTTCATGGTGATTTAATGAATTTAGCTTTAATCAGTAAAAAAATGAAAACAATCATTTTCGTAGCGATAACTGAGTCTGGGAGCGGCCTTTTTTATGAAGTAAAACTGTTTAAATCTTTATTTATTTATTGGGACACAACCTATTAAAGGACAGATTCATGAATTGTCTGACTGAATAATAAGGGATTCTTAATCATAATCTTCATCCTCTGTCATGGGAGCTGGCTTGGAGCTCGTCTGCATGGTTGTGTGTTTCTTTTACAGTTTCCTTTTGTATCTCTGCTTCAGATGGCCACTAACACTGAGCCTGGTTCTCCTGGAGGTTTCTTCCTTTTAAAAGGAGGTTTTTCCTCTCCACTGTCGCTGCAAGCATGCTTAGTGTGACGGATTGCCTTTGAGTCAATCAGTCAATGTAATCAGCTGGTTTACCTTAGATAGAAAACTTTGAAACAATCTGACTGTATGATGTGGTTGAACTGTAAAGTGCCTTGAGATGATGTGTTGTGAATTGGCGCTATAGAAATAAACTGAATTGAATTAATGAAGGTAGTGCAATAGAAGGAGACCTTAAGTTCACATCTAACTACTGCTTTAAAAGTTCCAATATGGTGTGACGCTTTGCATTATATGAGATAATCTTAGAAATAAAAATATGGCACCACTGAAAACTAAAACACAAATGGCTGTGCACCTAGTCTACTGTAACAGTCCAGATAAAGAGATAAAGTAAAGAGAGTTTATCAAAAAAGTTGTCAAAAGGTCCTTGTTCAATGGAGCATCTGTAGAGATCAACAGCAGAGAATGTGTCAGCTGGCCGCTGATGCATTTACTCCACAAACTGGGTCATTATTTAAATAATAACCGAAATAATAATGATAGAAATAAGATGTTTCTTTCTTCCTTCTTTTGTTTTTTTTTTTCCTTTTATTGTGTGATTCTGAGGACCCGTTATGTACAGTTGCAGGTTTTTAGTGTAAGGTTACATAAACAAGTCAGCTTGTTTTTTGATGAAGGTGTTTTGATGATGAAGACAGATAACGCTCCTCTACTCAAACTCGATACCTGTTGATCATTGTTACTTTCAATTCTTTTTCAGTACGCATACTGAATAAAAGGTGTGGATCCATGAGCCTCTTATCAAACGTTACCATCACATACAAGACGTATCATAGGTAGCAGCATTTCTGAAGGCGTCTTATAAACATTTCTCATCATGGCTGCAACACTTAGAAGATGAAAAGGTAAGAGAATCAATGCATNTAGATTATTATCTATACCTAAAACTAGTACGTTCATGGTGATTTAATGAATTTAGCTTTAATCAGTAAAAAAATGAAAACAATCATTTTCGTAGCGATAACTGAGTCTGGGAGCGGCCTTTTTTATGAAGTAAAACTGTTTAAATCTTTATTTATTTATTGGGACACAACCTATTAAAGGACAGATTCATGAATTGTCTGACTGAATAATAAGGGATTCTTAATCATAATCTTCATCCTCTGTCATGGGAGCTGGCTTGGAGCTCGTCTGCATGGTTGTGTGTTTCTTTTACAGTTTCCTTTTGTATCTCTGCTTCAGATGGCCACTAACACTGAGCCTGGTTCTCCTGGAGGTTTCTTCCTTTTAAAAGGAGGTTTTTCCTCTCCACTGTCGCTGCAAGCATGCTTAGTGTGACGGATTGCCTTTGAGTCAATCAGTCAATGTAATCAGCTGGTTTACCTTAGATAGAAAACTTTGAAACAATCTGACTGTATGATGTGGTTGAACTGTAAAGTGCCTTGAGATGATGTGTTGTGAATTGGCGCTATAGAAATAAACTGAATTGAATTAATGAAGGTAGTGCAATAGAAGGAGACCTTAAGTTCACATCTAACTACTGCTTTAAAAGTTCCAATATGGTGTGACGCTTTGCATTATATGAGATAATCTTAGAAATAAAAATATGGCACCACTGAAAACTAAAACACAAATGGCTGTGCACCTAGTCTACTGTAACAGTCCAGATAAAGAGATAAAGTAAAGAGAGTTTATCAAAAAAGTTGTCAAAAGGTCCTTGTTCAATGGAGCATCTGTAGAGATCAACAGCAGAGAATGTGTCAGCTGGCCGCTGATGCATTTACTCCACAAACTGGGTCATTATTTAAATAATAACCGAAATAATAATGATAGAAATAAGATGTTTCTTTCTTCCTTCTTTTGTTTTTTTTTTTCCTTTTATTGTGTGATTCTGAGGACCCGTTATGTACAGTTGCAGGTTTTTAGTGTAAGGTTACATAAACAAGTCAGCTTGTTTTTTGATGAAGGTGTTTTGATGATGAAGACAGATAACGCTCCTCTACTCAAACTCGATACCTGTTGATCATTGTTACTTTCAATTCTTTTTCAGTACGCATACTGAATAAAAGGTGTGGATCCATGAGCCTCTTATCAAACGTTACCATCACATACAAGACGTATCATAGGTAGCAGCATTTCTGAAGGCATCTTATAAACATTTCTCATCATGGCTGCAACACTTAGAAGATGAAAAGGTAAGAGAATCAATGCATAAATCAATTGAGTGCATTTTTTTTTAAATAAAAAACTAAATGCATGTCTGTTATTCCAAAAAGTTTGACATCTGGAGCAAATTCTTTGTAAATCCTACAGAAAATGGCAAAGTGGGTTTAGTTCCAGCTGCAAATCATGTTCCAATTTTTTAACAAGTTGTTTTTTTATATTGTGTAACAGGTTTAACCATTACATTTTAGTGTTTTTAAAGTTCAGTTTATGCTTTGTGCAAGCCATTATTCCTTTGAGCTGATCCTCTTAGCTCGCTGCATGTGTACTTTCTTGCTTAGAAGAACACATTGAGGGCAGAGGTCAGATGATTAATTTCAGGCCACAAAGCAGGTTCACAGGCTGGTGGTTGCTTCCTCCATTTCTCGTGCACAACTTTTGGCACCAAAAAAGGTGGCACTCTTAGTGCATGCCTTTCCGCACACAATGTCACTGTAAGTTAGTAGTGTTACTTTAACCCTTTATAGGGCAAGTTACCATTTTTGATCACTTGCAAACCCATTACAAATGGAGTCCCCCCCGTCCCTCAGTTAGGTCTAGAAGCACAAGATCTATATCCATTTATTCAGCAAAGATACTGCTACACGGCTGTACATCATATTTTGGCATTTGACCAATTAGATGAGCATTTATTGATATATTACCTACTGGAAATTAAGTTGGGATAAAAAAGTTAAGTCAAGAAAAAAAGTGAAAAGCTAATTGAAAAGTTAAAAAGTTAAGTTAAAAAGCTAATAAGCCTAGTTAACAATTATATTTAGGTTTATAAACTTAAAAAATCTAAGTGCAAGTATCAGTATTAATACCTCTAAGGTTATGTTGTACCAAAAACATGTGTTCCTTTCACTTTTTTTTTATAGTAGCACTTTTGTTATTTTTCTTACTATATTTGGGCAAGTTGGTGTTTCTTGTTATTATTTTTTTAATGCTACAAAGGTAATAAGATATTATTCTAGATCCCAATAACACTATTGGCTTGAAATTTAGATTTTCAAAGTATTTCACAGATTGCCCTATAAACGGTTAAGGATGTCCCACCCATACCATGCTGTTTGTAACATGCTGTCATTGAAGATAAGAACAAAATGCTTAATATTAATCAAAAGCCCAGATATTAAAAACATAAAGGCCTAAAGATTAATGTATGAACAGGTGTGGAAGGAAAAAAAATTTGCCTTCAACATCGAAAAAAAGGAAAAAAGAAGCATATGATAAAAGTGAACATTTATTTTAAAACAGCATTAAATAATCATTGAACTGAAATATTCAGTTAAAATCACAAATGTTTGCATTTAATGACAGATATTCATCAGCTGCAAACTCAAATAAATACAATTTAAAATAAATAGATTGTAAAAATTCACATAAATAAATAGACAGAGAAAATAACTAATAAATAGCAAATGTTTAAATCAGAGCAGCGTTTCT